GATTTTCCTTTCCTTTTCTTCCCTTCTTGTATGTATGTGCATGTCGATAATGAATGAATGTAACTCTCAGTGTAAATCTCCCTTTGAAATGTCCTTGCTTGACAAAGGTTAACTACAAGGTCATTGCCAAAGTGTCCTGAGAGGTTGAGATGTTACCCACCAGTTTCACATTGTGGCTTCCAATTTCATTTTTGTGACAATGTTCAAAAGTAGGAATAATTTGTTCAGCCCTCCATCACAAAGCTGCAGTCAGCTCTAGTGTGACCACAATCACAAGCATCTTTTTTCCATAATGTTGAAGTGCCATGCGCTATCACATGGAAACACTGGGCTATAACATTTCATCATTGTGAACCTTTGACTTATACTCTACTGTTGTTTTCAGCTAGATTTGTAAGTGTGTTTTGTTCGTTTTTCCAGCATGGGCTTCTGTTTACTTGGGCTTTGAAAGAATAGTTTTGTGTGAATATCTGCATTATGTAATGTAGCAGCTGTGGGTGGGTTGTTGGCAATGAACACTGAATGTAAGACCTCTGGACCTAACATCTGAAGCCTTTTCTTCCTGAGAGTAAAAAACAAGCCCTATGGCAAATTCACAAAGCACATTCTCTCTGACCCAGATTCCAGATATACTTAGTGCTCCATAGTTAATAACATGAAGCACCAGTAGAACGCTGAAAATACCTTATGTGAACAAAAACAATCAGCATTAAAAGATCTTGTGACCAGCAGCCTGCATGGGCAGAGTACATTATGTCTTTACATAGCCAGCAAATATATTTTAATCTAGTCTAGTATTCTCCCTTCTTATTAATAGAGAAGAAAGCTTAGTTCTGTCCTTTCACTTGCTACCATGGATGACAGCTCCCCAAATATTGCAATCAGCATAGCAAGTGTCTGTGTTGGCTGAGGAAGTTGAAGAATTGTTTTTAAAAAACAAGTTTTAAAACTGAAATTCATCATGATTTGGCCAGGGGCTGGACTTGAAGACCCTTGACAAATCATGCTGAGCTGCGTTATAAAAGTTACTTTTTTATGACAACCCCTAGAATCCCCCAGCAGTAGCAGGGCAGTTCTACAATTCCATGATTCTGTTGGACTTTCTGCATGCTGGTCTGCTATTGCTTTCTTCATATTGAAGCAATTTTTTTTTAAATGACAATTTTCTCCTAATTGCCATGCTAACACAATGAATTATTGTCTGTCATAATTTAATGGAGTAAAGGCAAGATGAACATAATGCCCATCATATTGTTTTCAAACACTGGAGCCCTAAATGACCCAGCCTTCTAGGTCAGCTGAAGGAATACCTGCTTGCATTATAATTCCACTATGCTTGCATGGGAATTTATTTATTTATTTATTATTTCAGCTTGCATACTGCCCCATAGTGCACACACTCTCTGGGCAGTTCACAACACATTAGTATGATAGTCCTACAGTTACTGCATTGTTTGACATCTCCTTTTCTTGGGACAAGAATTGTGAGAGACAATAAACCAGTCTGCAGACCATTGTTTCATTTTCTATATTTCTTGTCATATTCTTGTGAGGTTGTTGATAGATTAAATGTTTGTAGCTTCATATAGCTCTATTGGTATCCACACAGTTCCTGATGTTTTATTTATTCCAATTGCTTTAAGAACAACTTTTACTTTATAAAATTGCATGTTCTTCATCATAGTAGTCTTATTTAAAGGAAGTTGTCACCTTAGCATCTCTTTTGTATAGTTCTTCAATATATTGTTTCCATCTTCTCTTTATTTTATGTTATACAGATAACATATTGCTTTGTTGATATTGGAGGATCCCTAATCTTGGCTGAAAGTTCCTTTTCATTTTTTGGATCATCTACAAGAAATCTCATTTTTTCTTTTTTTAAATTGTTGTTCTCTTCCATTCCTCTGCAATGATTATTATAATAGTTCTGTTTGTTCCTATGTGCCAATTGTTGAAACTTGCAGTCATGATTCTGACGCTATTCTCTCTTATCTTTCTTACTTATCTCTAGTTAACAATTTCAAGAATTTCATCAATCATCTATTCATGTGTTGTGTTTCTTTTATTTTAGGTACAGATTTTTATTTTCATTATGCTTTCTTCCCAGGTAACATTCCTGGTTTCAAACCAGACTTCTTTCCAGTTAATTAAAATTACCATCTTTTCATGACTCTCCAAATCAGCTGCCTGAAGCAACCACTTCACTCTGCCTAATAATAGGGCCATCTCTTTCCCATGTTTAGGAGGCTGACTTTTTGTATAGATTTTGCTGGTGCTAATATTACTTTGTGCAATTTTTTATTCTATTTGCCAATGTTTTAATTACATTTTGTATTACAATTTTTCCTATGATTTATTACAATTTAATCATATTATATCGCACTTATTTTTCTTTTTCTTTCATTGCATGGTGCTTTGGCCAAGAAAGTAAAAGTAATACTGATACAGATACTAATAAAGGTTTATTTTCCTGCTTCTTATTGTTCTACTGCACCACATATTTGTACATTTTTAATGTGGGTTTGTTTGTTTGTTTCTTTGTTTGAATTGTGGTGCTGGAGGAGACTCTCGAGAATCCCCTGGACTGCAAAGAGAACAAACCTATCAATTTTGAAGGAAATCAACCCTGAGTGCTCACTGGAAGGACAGTTAATACTTTCGCCATCTCATGAGAAGAGAAGACTCCCTGGAAAAGATCCTGATGTTGGGAAAGTGTGAGGGCAGGAGGAGAAGGGGATGACAGAGGACGAGATGGTTGGACAGTGTCATCGAAGCGACCAACATGAATTTGACCAAACTCTGGGAGGCAGTGGAAGACAGGAGGGCCAGGCATGCTCTGGTCCATGGGGTCACGAAGAGTCAGACATGACTTAACAACTAAACAACAACAACAATGTGGGGTTTCTAGATGCTATTATTCAGATATGAATGTGCATATATTTTAATTCATATATATTACATTTTACTTGGTTCTGAAATGTATTTTCTCTGAATCACTAAGTGAGGGGAGTGGAAGGACAAAGACAGCATAAAATGTATAGCAAAAGTGATAGAAATATTATGACTTGATTAATTTGCCTCATTAGTTGCTATTCTCCTTGTATCTTAAGAATTGTTAAAAATGATATACTTGCTAATAGTTGAAATTACCGTAAGACAAAACTACTATTTTATACTCTTCCTATAAATAGGTAAATTTTTGCAAGTCTACAGGCTAAGCATAAATAGTGTGAAATGATGCTGACCCCTAACTGAAATTATTGCCATATTTTATATACAGTAATATATATTTATCAGATAGTTTTATGATTTTATAAGATAGTATTTGTTTTGTTTACATTTTGTTAACTTCTTGAACATCTTCAGCTGGGATGTATACATACTGTTGCTTAGCATGATAAATCACAACTAGAATAGGCTTATGGAATCAATGAAATTAATTACAGTACTGAGATTTACGATATCCATATATATAGAATGTGTGTGTGCGCGCACACACACACTCACACACACACACACACACATTAAAAACCCAACTACTCATAAGAATCATTCTAGCCAATATCCTGTGGAGGCCAAATATTCTCACACTATGAGTTCCTAGCAAAATTGTCTGGACCACTGCAAAAAAAATTTACTAGTGTCAAGACAAACAGCATGTCACAAGCAGGATATTTGATTGCATCTCAGCATCTATAATAATTAAAGATATAAATTGAATGTGCTTAACTCAGTACTGTACTGGAATACATCCACAACTGAACTGAACCTATTTTGATCAGTCCAGAGATCTCTAGTTAATTGATGACTACATCTCATACCATTGTTAGTATGATGGCCAGTGTTTTCAATTTCTTAATGTTTGTTTCTATTGTTGGGTTGGGGCATGCTACAACAATGTGATGTGAATTCTAGATTCCAGATAAATATGTATTTTGTTAATGTTGTGTTCTGTCAAATCATTTCCAACTTACAATGAGCCTATGAATTAATAAACTCTAAACGTCCTATCATTAGTTCAGGTCATTCTGGCATCAGTATTTAAAAGAAATTGGAGAACGTACGCTGCCAGACCTTATGGAAGCTGTTTGGTTTGGCATGCTGTGTAGCATGTCATAAATTGACTCCTTTGTATCTACACTATTCTAGAAACATGAGATGAATAACTTCACCGAAGTTTGGTTTAACAGGATTTTCAGCACAGACCACTGCAGTTTGAATAGGGGCTCAGTCTTTTCAATGTTACGCTATACTCTTGAGATAGTGCCTTTGGGCATGTGCAGAGTACATCTCCCCAATGAAACAACCCAGCGCTGAGAAAACATGTTTAATACGTTAGGCAAAAGCGTGGTATCTAGCCCCAGCAACACTTCTCTCTTGTAACTTTGTCTTGGAAATATGTAGGTGCTGGGTGTGTGGGGGGGGGAGAGACTGAGGAGAACATCTGAAGCCGCCAACAAACGTGTATTCCGGCTCCTCTGTTATGTGTAAGGAACAGCCTTCCATGCCCCACAGAGACCAGCCCCCCCTCCCTTAGACATATGCTGAGAGAACAACCGCAGTAACAGCAGCCCCAAATGGATTAAGTTATATAAGCCCTCCCCCTCCCCGCTTTTAGAAAGGAGTGGATGGGGAAAGGAGGGGGTGGGGAGGGGGAGTTGCCTCTCTTTCTCTCTCAGTCCCTCCCTCTCTCCCTCCTTCCCTCTCTGGGTTTGATTGTGGCTGTTGTAGCTCAGGTTGATTGGGAGTGGACGGCGGGGGCCTGGCGCAGGCCCAGGCCCAGGGCTGAGGAAAGCTGCTTAGCCCGGCCGAGGTTTCCATGGTGACGAGCGGGAGGCGGCGGCGGCGGCAATAGCAGCAGTAGCAGCAGCAGAGCCGAGGCTGTCAGTGAGCGTGAGCGGGGCGGGCGAGCGGGAGGGCGACGGAAATCAGGAGCAGGCATCGGCGGGGTCCGCAGAAGGAGAAGGCGGCGGCGGGCGCTGCCGCTGCCGCCATCCGCCATGGACGTCCACTGCGACTGTGCCGAGCCCACCTCGGTGGGTGAGCAGCCTCCGCCATCGCAAGACAAGACCCACGACGGACTGGCCGAGGTGGTGCTGGAGAGCGGCAAGAAGGAGGAACCGGGCGGCGGCGGCAGGGACGACCCGTTAGGTGGCGGCGGCGAGAGCGTTGGGGCCAAGGATGCCTCCTCCTCCTCCTCCTGCGCCTCCTCAGCCGCCGCGGTGGGCAAGTCGCACAGCTTCTTCTCCCTTTTGCGGAAGAACGGAAGACCCACGACGGACTGGCCGAGGTGGTGCTGGAGAGCGGCAAGAAGGAGGAACCGGGCGGCGGCGGCAGGGACGACCCGTTAGGTGGCGGCGGCGAGAGCGTTGGGGCCAAGGATGCCTCCTCCTCCTCCTCCTGCGCCTCCTCAGCCGCCGCGGTGGGCAAGTCGCACAGCTTCTTCTCCCTTTTGCGGAAGAACGGCCGCTCAGGCGAAGGGGGCAAAGGCGAAAGACCCAAGGGGCGCGGGGGGCTCAAGGGTCTCTTCAGCAGCATGAGGTGGCACCGGAGGGACAAGCCCGCCGGCGACGGTGGCGGCGGCGGCGGGGCGAAGGAAGATGATGCTGGCGAGAGCCCTGAGAGCCAGCCCAGCCGCCTCATGCCAGGCTCCCTCACGGCCAGCTTGGAGTGTATCAAAGAGAAGGCACCACGACCACCCCCAGCCGAAGCCCCTCAGAGCCTCCTGGGATCTTCCAGTGTTGGAGACCAGCTGTTGGCCCCCCAGGAGCCGCTGACCAGCCTAGAGAAGCAGGACACGGATGGCCAGGAGCTGCAACCCACCACACCTTGTACTCCCTTGGGAGAAGAGCTTCCTAGGGTCCAGCCTCTGGCGAAGGAGAGCCACCCTGAGCTATCCAAGGACGGTGATGGCCAAAAGACCAAGGAGGACACAGCCATAACAGGTGACATCCCCATCGAGCCTCCCCCCCCTGTTGAACCTGAGTGTGAACGCGGCCACGAGACGGCAGCAGCCCCTGACCCTTCCTCTCTTGATCCACCCTCTGAGCCATCCATTGACCGTATTTGTTTGATGTTTGCTGACGTGACTTCACTGAAAAGCTTTGACTCTCTTACAGGCTGTGGGGACATTATTGCTGACCAGGAGGATGACGTGGGCGGCAGCGGCGGTGGCGGTGGTGCAGGTGGAAGTGACAAGAGTGCTCCTGGCCTCAACAAGGTGGGAGCTTCCAAAAAGCCTCCCAGCGTGGTGACTTACCAAGGAGGAGGAGAGGAAATGGCCAGCCCCGAGCAAGTGGGGGATACATGCACCCCAGAATTCTGGGACATGTTGTCACAAACAGAGGAAAAGTCACAGGATACACCTGGAGGGAAGGACTCTCCTAAGGCCTCCAAAGATGGCAGCTTTGCCAAAAGGAAACAAAACGGGTCAACAACCGGGCAGCATGCTGGGGTCAGTCCGATTCCATCTCATCACAACCACAAGGAAGAACAGAAAAGTAGAGAAAAAGAACAACAGGAAGCCATCCCTAGCAGTGATGAGGGCTACTGGGATTCCACCACACCTGGCCCTGAGGAGGACAATACCAACAGTATCCAGAAAGAGGTAATTCCCAGGGACAGCTACAGTGGGGATGCTCTCTACGATCTGTATGCTGAGCCAGATGAAAACACAGCCACTGTGTCTTCTGTAGAAGATGTCACCTCTGTGACTTGTAGCAAGCCAGTGTCTCCAGTAACTACCACATGTCCAGTCAAAACACATACAACTTCACTCAAGGACTCCAAAATACCCATCAGTATCAAGCATTTTACATCACCGCCTGGCAGCCATGGCCCGGATACCAGTAACAGCCATCACATCATACACCATCAGCCTACCAAAATTGAGGTCCCCAGAACGAAAATCCCAGTTTCTAAAGTCCTTGTACATCGGGCCAGTTACCGAAGCTTAGCAGGGACAACAGGTAAAATAGCCACATATCATGAAAGTGCCAAAAAATAGAAAATGACAGAAATGGGTGACCAGTCTTCACAGGAACCAACTTATAAGCCCTTTGGCATCATCTAAAGGAAGATACCTATTTGTGGTCCTTCTACAAATGCAAGGAACATGGGCTTCTGAATTCCATCTTCTTATATACAGCATATATGTAAAGTTAAGTTCTTTTTGAGCACTTTTAAAATGTTTGTACCTGTTTTTCTGAAGCACTAAACTACTCGGGAGACCAATTTTTCATGCCTTTTCTGGAAGCAGGACTTGGATAAGGAATATAATCAATAATGCAAACTTGTGCCATGCGTTTTTCAAAGAGGATGAAACTATGGGAAAGAGAGGACCAAAATAAGTTTGCCAGTATATTATGATGGCATTTGGGTTGTTTTGTTTTGTTTTGTTTTAAATGTTTTGGCCTATACTGAGAGAGGATGCCTGTTCTAATATTACAGGAAAGTGTCCAGCAAAATAATAATAATAATAGTAAGAGCAACAAAGACAAAAAGCAGGTGTTTAACCTGAGGTATAGAGTTCACTGTCAATGAGCAACAGATTCTACTCACTTGTGAAAGATAGCTGATGAAATAAGCTAGATGTATGTCTGTAATAAGAAGACATAATTTTGTCTGTCTTGTTTGCTTTTGATCCATCCCAATCTAACTGGATAAGGAAGACATCTAATGAACTCTCAGATGTTTACACCAATATTTTTCTGGTGCATAAAATAATCAGGTTTAAGGGAATAATTTTCCTAAATGCCAATATAGAGACAACTACAGCATTTATACACACTTGTTCTTTATGTATAAATAGATGCATATGTTACCCTTAGTGCTACTGTTTTTTAAATTAAAATGTCTTTCTGTATTTCCTAGAGTTGAAGCAAAATTAGTTTTTATAGCTTGATAATTTTACAATTCTAAATGTATGGACTTTCTTAAAAGTACAGTAAACTAGAGCAAAAAAATTTATGGGCTCTAATACCCAGGATAAACAACTCTATTGTGTTAATTGTACAAGAGTGATGGATGCAAAATACTGAAGCCAAGGTTCTAATGACCTTTTGTTTTCCAAGCCCCCTGTTTTCAGGAGTTTCTAAAACAGAACTTCGGTTCAGTTTCTTGCAGAGTTACAGCCTAAGGCTGCAAACCCATTAAATAAATATATATATTTTCAAGATATAATATGTTTAGTTTTGGCTATTGAAGAAGTTTAGTTTTTCCCCCCAATGTAGGCTTTAAAATTATTTTGCTGTAATAAAAAGAGGAAGACTGGTAAACTGTTAGGCCATTAAATAGTTTTATCACTGTGGACGCAACATACACATTATTGGCCACTGAATATAAGGAGTGCTACTGAAATGTGATTACTGTATTGACATCTTTTCAGTGAAGCAGCATCACATTATGTGCCTAAAGATCCATTTCCAAGATAGGTTGAAAAAGCCTCATTGAGGCCTAATGGAACAACAGTGCTTTAAAATAAATATAAAGAGAACAACAGTGAGGATCTATTTCAGAGCATTTGGGAAATACTGCATATTTTTGGAAAAAAATAAAATTTGTTTTTAAAAACCATATATACAGTATATTATATGACCTAGAAAATATTCAACTTAGTTACTTACACAAGTTAATGATATTTCACTTAGTCAAGAGTTTGTCTAATCTCATTATATTTTACACTAGGTAAATACAAGTATACAAAATATACAGATGAATAAGAGTATTAAGGCTGCATGTTAATGAAGAAAAGGTAGAAAATATGTTGTCTGTAATTGTGTCCACAGGTAAATTTCTTACATCCCCATTGCTTTAGATGGCATTTTGACAGGTTATGTACGAAATTGTGGGGTGGGGGAACCAAGAAGCAGGCTGTTTATTTTTTAAAAAATGCCAAAAGAGCTATGGTACTTTAAGCATTCTCAAGAGTCTGCAACATGGGATTATTCCCTCCTCTGCTTCCTTTTTGTTATGAACAGCTGATTCTTGATCACCACCACCAGTGGTGCCATTTGGTTTTAGGATACTTTCTTATGAGGAGTAAGAAGTACTACCAGCATTATACCATTCAGGCATAAGGTCCTAGAAAAGCGAAGAAGCCTTCAGAATAACGATGGTTGCCATTCAAAACAATCATGTTCTAAAAAAATTTTTTTAGATTGGTCCAAGTTGTCTGAAGTTGATTTCAGACTTACTTTTCAAAAATAAGCCAAATGGCAGTTCCCATGACACGTAGTGGGGGGGAAAGGCCATGCTTTTGGAGGCAGCAGGTTCAAAAACTATTAGAATATGACTCCTCAAAATAAAAGAAAACTAACATTGAACGTATCCCTTCCAAGAGTCTAAGATCTAAGTCCTAAATGTATCTTTGCATCCTAGTCAGTCATTTATCTTGCCTGCAATCATGCAGATACTAGGCTATGATACTCCAGTTGTTTATCCTGGAGAAAAATGGAACACTGCTTTTCATAATTTTTAGTTTACATGCAACAAGGAAAAGTTGGGTCATGTCTTCCATTATCCCTGAGGAGGGAAACAAAAATTAAATCTTAGCCATTCACCCTATGTTTACTTTGTTGCTCTGTTTAGAGCTTGAAAGCTAAGTTCTAAACATCTTTCATTGGCAATAAATTCTGTTAATGGTCTCCCAAGTAAAATATATATTTAGAATATAGAGTGCTACTTAACCCACCCAGGTGATTTATGCTGTCTCAGAATGTATTTGTGAGTGGTTGCGGGTGCACTCAGTCACACATACAGAATGTACATATGCATGTGTATTCCTATGGACACATGAACTCTACATGCACAGATGTTCGTAATATGATGAAAGGCACATACACTTCTATCCACAGACTAACAGACCATAGATACATAGAGTAAATATGGTCAAATCATTTGGACAGGCATTTATCTTTGCCATTTGTCCTGATTTGGCTTGTTTTGTTGGTTTTTCTTAAAAAGGAGTAGATGATTGGCTTACCCTTGTGCAGTCCTACTGATTGAGAGCTCTGAGACTACACTAGATAAATGATCTTCTTGTAGCTGCAGTATTCTGGAAGGAAATAATGTAGAGGGCAAATAATGAGTTTAATCCTAGTCATCTACTGTGCATTTTCTGTTTTCCATTATGCTCTCTATTTGCATGCTATTTATGCAGAATTATCAAAGTATTGCTTGTTTTCTTTCAAAGGAGCAACTGTGTAAAGAATAGTGAAGGGAGCAGTTATGTTGGGCTGAAAAGAGCATGTTGTGATATGCAGGAAGAATGAAGTACAGCTCAAAATAATGGTACAACATTGAAAGTACACTTCATCATTTGAGACTCCTTATTTATCTTACAGTTTTCCACCATATCTCTTTTGCTTATCTATAGCTTGTATGTATGAAGAAGCACTAGAGATAACCATATATAAATTTTCCTCCCCATTTATGATACAAGCTTGCCTTTTAAACTTTTCTTTTTAAAATTGCCTCATTTTTTATTTGTCAGCTTTTTATTAATTCTGTTTCAAACTCTCAAAAATGCAGTCCAAGGCATTATATACATTGCCATTTTTCCAGTGATCAGAGTAACATTAACTGCTATCAATATCTTAATTAGCTCTTAGCAACAGTAATAACAAATGCTTTCCATGAGGTGGTGTTCCCATGATCAAAAACATACTCATCTTTCTTTCTTTATTGTATCAGAACATTCCATGATTTAAAATTATAGATGTATTTGAAATACAGCTAAACATTAAGAACAAATTAAAATTGTAAAATAATTACACTATTTTTGACCCAAAGTGGGCTATTTCAATAGCGTTATCTTGGTCATTTACTAGATCTTCTTTCATACACATGGTGGGGCACAAATTGCATACACATAAATGCTGCATTGATTGAATTTCTCCACAGCCACAGAATATTTGCCATGTATCCAAGTAGCCCCATTTTTGTTTTATTAGTCTTTGATCTAGTCACAGTTTTGTCCTGGTGAGAGAAACTCTTCAGCAACGTTCCCTCTAAGCCAGTGGTCCCCAACCTTGGCCCTCCAGATGTTCTTGGACTACAACTCCCAGAAGCCTTCACCACCATCCCTGCTGGCCAGGATTTCTGGGAGTTGAAGTCCAAGAACATCTGGAGGCCCAAGGTTGGGGACCACTGCTCTAAGCTGTGCATGCATCGGGGCTGCACTCCAGCAGCTGGTGTTCTCAGTCATTAAGTTCTGGTTTTGGCTGGAGCTCCATCCCTGTTCACATGGTGAGGCTTCCACGCAGCAACACCGAAAATTAGAGGGAACTCTTCAGCTCTTCAGCGTTCATCCATTTGGCAAGATGTGTTCTTTTTGTTCTCCGTAGGTTTAGCCTCGCCTCTTCTGGTTTAATATTTAGAGCTTATGTGGGCAGAAAACCTTTCCTCAGTACTCATACATACTCATGATTTTGGTGATAAAGGGAGTAATACCATGTAGACAGCTATCTAGCGATACTATTGTACCTTGTTTGGCAAACAAATACATTAGGTTTTATCTTGCACACTGATCGTGTGCCAGTAACAGGAACTTTGTAATGTCAGAATAGAGTTAGAAGTTCCCTGTTTGTACCACTGCATAATATGTGTGAAGGGGAAATATATGCTATTCCCTTAAAACATATGACTTTGAAAGTGGAATGGTTGGCATCCGGGAAGTAAGTCTGAAAAGGAATTAGGAAATGAGGAAATAATCCTTTTGTAGGGAACAGCTGGTATGATCCAGTGCAGTAGCAAGCTATTTGCCTGCTAGAAGTGTTTGTCAGTTGCTGAAAATCATACTTTGACAAGAGGATAATCAAGTAGTGTCTTTTGTTATTTTTAACACAATAATGGCATTGACTGATTTCTTATTGGATTCAAAGATTTTGTAGATAAGAAATGGTTTTTGATATCGAAGACATAATTGGCATGACAAGCACTCAGGGTACATTCCTTGAGTGTTGATGTGAGTGGAGACAGGCCTAGTGAGAATGCGTTTTACAGATATCTGTCCCTGCCAAGACTCATGAATTCAATGAGCAATTGCCAAAGTCTGAAGTCAGAGCCAAGAATAGGTGAAACTTAATTCTCACATGATACTTTGACCTGAAAGGAGGCAGAGAAAGAGGAGATTGCAAAATATGGCATTCAGAAATACATAAAAAATAAGTATGATCAATGGAGACTATTTGTGTGATACTTCACTGTCTTACGATGCATGTTCCCTTTGCAATGCTCCTATCAACACAGTTATTCAACTCCAGACAAGTATCTTAAGAAATGGCCCATAACTATTCAATAAAACAGCATTTCATAGAGCACAATCTTATGCCTATTAAGTCTGAAATAAATCCCACTATTTAGGGGGTCTTACTTTGAGGCAAATGTGTATAAGATTGCTTCCTTTAGTAGCCAATGGCTTTGAATCTTCACATTTTGAAGTATAAACACTACGGTTAATTTTTCCCAGGATGCTTTTATTTTTAATAGAAAGATTATATTTGTATGTTAGAAAATATAAGCGGTGCCTAAGATAATGCACTGAAAAGGATGTTTAACAAAATTAAATTAGGTGTATTTCATTCCTTTCTGTAACCTGTAGAGCACTTTGACAGGATTAGTGATAAAAAAGAACAGTAAAGTACTGGAATGAAACATAAAGAGGCTGCTGTGGGAGAGGCATTGTCTGAAGAAGTGCATGTTAATTACAAGAGAATCCTACATTTCTACAGCCTTGATAGGCAGAAATTATCTTTCAGGTCCCAAAGATGCTGTATTCTTCAATAATGATGTCATTATTTTTATTTAAAGAAAACTATTTATGTAGAATTTTGCTTGGGATGATTGCTTGTACAGTTGTAAGCCCTGTATATAACATGTAAAGATTATGTTAGAGCAGGTACTGGGCATTTTATACTCTTCACATTTGCAGGCCACCTGATAAATTTTATATGTTCTTAGAATACATTGTGTAATATTGTACACTTGAAGTATTGTGTATGAGATATGTTTTTAAAAGGAGGTGTGTTTCTTCTGGTAGTGTGAACTCTTCTTTGTGGTCTTGATTTGCTCCCATAGATGTGAAGTTGGATCCGCCATAGGTGTGGTCTGCCTCTGAGACAAAGACTGTTCTCATCGCCAGTGCACATGCATTGCTCTCATTGGCAGCAGTCCACAACTCACTTATTCAGGAGCAATCCAGTTAACTTTAGTCTTGGATAAACAGTATGTGAATTGCAACCATTAGCAGTCATAGGGGAAAAGCACTTGCAGTAGTTTTAAGACAGGCCTTGCCATTATGAAGTACTATACAGTATGTAAAACATGATCAGTATTACTAAAATACTGAATTGGTAAACATCCCTACCACAAAATCCTTACATTAGCAAGGAACAGAATCTGTATGTTTCTGTTTATAATCTCATCCTATGAAAATTTCTTCCTTGCTTAATTTTTCATGCTCACTGCTGAATAATTTATCTACAGTAAAATGCTTGATTCTGTGGACAATTTTACTGTAATGTTTCTACTGCAAAGGAACCAAATTTCCATGCTTTGCTTAGTGAAGCAAAACTATTGGTTGGTCTGGAAATATAGGGAATTGCCAAAGCTCAAAGAAAGCTGTTGTTTGGATTCTGAACTTGTATTAAATGTCATGTTCTCCAAAACAACAACAACAACAACAACCAACTTTTCTATTTAAATAACACCTCAGATGAGGCAATTTGATCCATAAAGATGCATATGGCTAGATATATGTTTCATAGCAACAAAAAAACATTTTAAAGGAACTGAATCTCTTAGCAAAATTTTATTGCTATGAAATTATATTGCATTTTCTTTACTTATGAGAGAACCAACATTGATACTATATGAAATCTGTAGGACAATCATTTTGGTATATTTTACACAGAGCACATTCTTTGTTCTGTATCTTTTTTGTAGACAGAAATTACTCATTTGCCTATGTAGAATTAGGGTGACAATATTACCATTTTAACTATCAGAGTAATTTGACAGTGCATTTTAAAGTAATTTTGGGGTAGTGTCTGCTCTCTCTGTTGCCACTGTCATAGTTGGAGATTGGAATTGAAACATTTGTGAATCCTACCATAAATTACTGCTATTACAACTTCATGTTAAACAGTGAAAGGTGAAAATACTAAACAGGGCAAACATATGGAGAGCAGACAGACAAAAAGAACATACAGTATGTGGAGATCTGGTTGGGGACATAGTTTGAGGAGAGTGTAATGCTCTGCTTCTATGCCATGGCCATGATTTATCCCATCTACATCCCAAACCTGTTTTTAGCTTCATTAGCTCTTAGCCGAACTTTTGTAAGCCAAATTGCTTAAGCCCATAAATTTTCTCATTTACCACCAACAGTCTACTCAGTGGGCACATATCTACGAACAAAGGGTGTGAGTACAAAGGGTGATTCTGCCTCAAAGCTGCAATCCATCCCCTCCTCCCGCTGTGAAAAATAACGACACTGAAAGTTCCACGTCGCAGAATTCTTATATCACATGTAGTTTGATGCTTATACAGCCGGGTGGGTATGAATTAGAAAAGCCCTCCTTGCAGTTAACTGTGCGGAAACAGACTGGAAAGAATCCACTCTGAGGGCTGCTACAAATAGCTTGTTGCATGTGTGCACACCTTATACATTTTTATATGTTTCAAAAACATAGTTGTAGGAGTATAACCAGAGAGCCAGGACTCACTGTCAAGTGTTCATTTATCATCAAAGCTGAAAATCACACAACATAAGAGGATCATGCTGTGGTCCAACTCTGTGATGCAAATTATGAAATTTGTGTAGATAAGAGTCAGAACATATAAGGTATTTTGTCACTGTTCAGTATAAGAATAGTAATAGCATATCTGGACTTGGTGGTTTGGTGGGTATTGATTTCCTGATAGGCTTAGGTTGTTTTGAATCCTGTTTAATCTTTTCTCCTCTACAGTGGACCCTCTACTTACGGAATTAATCTGTATTGGAAGGGTGGCTGTAGGTTGAAAAATCTGTAGGTTGAGTCTCCATTGACCTACAATGCATTGAAAACCGATTAATCCGTAACCGGCCGTTTTTGTTCCGTTTTTGTTCCATTTTGGTTTTTTTCCAGTCTGTAGGTCGATTCTCTGGCTGCAAGTCGAAACTAAATTTTTTGGCCAGAGAAGTCTGTACTGTATCTCGAAAAGTCTGTAAGTCGAGCTGTTTGTAAGTCGAGGGTCCACTGTACCTTGGTTCAGCTTGACAGTTTTATGGACATGGGTACAGCATTTACATGGAATCTTTTGAAGGTGGTTGGCTTTAATGGGCAAAGAAGAACTTTTTGCTCCTAATTAATGTAAACAAGACAACAGGAAGCAAAGTTGAAGGGATGCAAGCCTTCTGATCGGAGAGTGAGTGTGGTAAAGGACATCACAGTGAAAAGGGACAGGTGCAGAGTGCTGGGACATAGAGGTCTGATATACAGTGGACCCTCTACTTAAGGAATTAATCCGTATTGGAATGGTGGCTGCAAGTCGAAAAGTCTGTAAGTCGAATCTCCATTGACCTACAATGCACTGAAAACCGATTAATCCCATAACTGGCAGTTTTTATTCTGTTTTTATTCCATTTTGGTTTTTTTCTGGTCTGTAAGTCGATTCTCTGGCTGTAAGTCAAATCTAAATTTTGCAGCCAGAGAAGTCTGTAAGTTGAGGGTCCACTGTAACATTACACTGATAATCATCACTGAGGTTAGAAGGACTGAATGGGAGTCCTGATAAAACATGCTATCCATTTTCATTCTTGTTGTCAATGCTTCTCTGAATGCCATATGTCAAGATGACCCCAGTGTTGGTGCCCATCTTTTTATGATTATTTATTTATTTATTTATTTATTTATTTATTTATTGCGGGGCTTGATTGGCGCTTCCAAGAGTTTTTGTCTAGGTCAGTGGTTCTTAACCTTTGTTACTCAGATGCTTTTGAACTGCAACTCCCAGAAACCCCAGTCAGCACAGCTGGTG